CAGCACCATCTTCTCAAAGGCACTTTCTAAGAACCACCTTGCTTTAAAATAATGATTTAAAGATTTAATTCAGAGTCTATCTTGAAGAACATCTTTGCTTTACTGAGACCTTAACATAGTTACAACATTAGGTTTTGGTTACCTCAGACATCGGATTCAAAAAGGAAAGGAGTCCAATGACTGGATAGGTGATCTGATAGGATCCTGATTTTGTGACACTGTTTATTACTTGACACTTCAACAAGGTTTTTCACTGGCAAATCCCAACCCTCTGTATTAAATTTATTATCCTTCTAACTTTACGTTAAAATTTTTAACTTCCCTACTTTAAAAGATTCCTGAAATTTAATCAGCAATGTGAAAATCTACAACACTATCTCTGATGGGTAAAGTAAAATAAATTTCATCTCTCAGTAGCATAAGCCTTGACCATTATATCTTAGTTAAAAAAAATTATGCTGACCAACATGGAAAATTATAAACTTAAACGTACCGTTTTTAAGTAGGAAAAAAAGTCAAAATAATTTTTTCCTTTGATACATATTGAGTTTTTTTTTTTTCCTTCCTGGGAGTCAGCTTAGCTTTCATTAATCATATATGATTTCTAACATTGCCACTGATCAAGAATATCCTTAGCATAAAAAGGAATTAAAAAAAAAAGATCTTTTGAGCAGAAAATTCTTTCACTTTTCTTTACTGATTTTTACATATCTATTCTTGGCTGATTTTCTGACTCATGTAGAATCACAAAAGTGCTTTATATGATCAAATGGGAGAGAAACAGGAAAATAAAGACAGACTCTAGAGTCAGGGTTATACTACCACTCAGGAGGGCCTGACTTCATGTAAAGTCTTTCAACTATTATTATTGAAGATTTAAGACATCTATGAATTCTGAAAAAGAATGAAAAGGATTCAAACTTTATATGGTTATTAAAAAAGCCAAAATAAAGATTCCAGGCCAATGATGTCCTTTTGTAGCCCGACCAATAACTCATAAAAGGTAATTTAAGTATTCAATCTAAGAAGATGAGTTAAGCAAACATTTAACCAGGTTTAATGATATGAAATAAAAATTATGCAGAGTTGTCAGTTAAGATTCTTGGTAAAACACTATCAAATTTGAACTGCAAGGCTACAGATATTCTAGCTGGGTCTAAGTGGCTAGTTTCTTGAATTTCATAAAAATCACCACCCATCGCAAATTCATGCTAGCCTCTGAAAAGACCCACATATTCCTTCAATAGTAGTCCCTAATTCCTGGTTTGTAATCCATCTAATTACTTTGATCTATTACAGGCACTCTGAGTTCTAATCTTTTCCTTTAACACCGAGATCCTCTGCCAGCTACTTCTACTGAATGGCAACTCAGCTTTTATTTCCCTAGGCATATCTTGACTCTGTCACAACTCTAAGTCTGCCATGCTAAACTTCATTAGAGAATACACAGTAAACATTAGGCAATGGTGGGTCATCAGACAACCTGACTTGGAAAACTAGGATAAGTCTTTAGAAGACTGGGATCCCTATGCTGGAAGGTAGAGATGAATTTTTGTCAAGTGCCTTCCAAAACACCTAGTACACTCCCACTAGAATCCCTTCTGGACCCTCTTCTAGGAAGAGAAATAAATTAATAGGTTATAAACAGGAACAATTCCATAGAAGAATATTTTTTTTTTCTGAGTAACTTTTAAAAATGGAACTATTAAAAAAAAAAAAAAAGGGCATCTCTACTTCTATAAAAATATGCCAAAAACCAGTACTCAGGAGGATGAGGTACCTTTTTAGAAAACTGCAAAAGTCAAAACCCACATTTCTAAAACAAAGAAAGAATATCCTGATATTAAATTGAAACTAAAATGGCAGCACCCTTTGTTACCTTGATATTTCATGTCCTTAGTCTTATTTAGAAAACAAAACAAAACGAAAAACCCAAATGGGTATAACACTAGCCTTGATTCCTGCTCATCTCCTTACTGTTTAGTGCAGTAACTGTCAGACGCTACTTAAAATAAATATAGCAGCTACAGTATTATAAATGTATGGTCCTCAATGCCAGTAACTTGATACTGTCAAACAAATAGTATCAGCACTTTACACAGACACATTTGCCATCAACAATACACATCAAACTCCCAACCCTTCTTTGCATGAAAATCAATTAAACCAGCTGCTGTGACTGACATTTTTAAAGTCACTTAGATAAGATACATCATAGAAAACAGCAGGCCAAAATTTAGCATTCATTATATAGTCAGTGAGCTAGGGCAGAAAGGTTGCTGTGAGTTTCAAGGCCTTTAAATTAAAAAAAAAAAAAAAAAAAAGTTTTTTTTTTTTTTTTAAATAAAAAAGATCAGAAATTCTATACTAGAAGTGCAAAAACAAAGTAAATTTCAAAAACTATTTGCTACTCACCTTTCATTTTAAAATTCTAAGCAAAGGTTTCTTGTAATTAAGTTTGATACACCAACTTGTTAGTAAGCAGAATAGAAATGTACTATACATATTCTTCCAAGGTAACCAATTTAAACTAGCAATGTTGAATAGTGTAAGAGCACCCTAGTAAAGAAATCACTCAAAAAGTAAAGCTTTTTATTAAAACAATTTTTTTTTTCTTTCCTCTTAAAAAAGTCCTTCCAAATAGATGGGAATGAAGGGCTTCACTCTACCCATATGTGACTAAGTGACTGACTATTAGGTAAAGCAGTAAATAGGGAAAGGGTATTTATAGTTCTTCCCTAGGCCCTAAAGTTTCCCACATAAATCTGTGCAACTCTCACCGATAAAAATGTTTTCCTCACACTGAGCAAGCATACACCAATCAAGAAGTTTTTACCATTTAAAAAACAAAAAAAAACTCTTGCCATCGAGTCAATTCTGACTCATAGCGACCCTAAAGGACAGAGGAGAACCATCCTATGGAGTTTCCATGGCTGTAATCTTTACGGAAGTAGAATGCCACATCTTTCTCCCATGGAGCAGTTGGTGGGTTCGAACCGCCCTTTTAGTTAGCAGCAGAGCGCTTAACCACTAAGACACCAGGGCTCCTTTTTACCATCTAGGATATATTATTTCCTTCTCTTACTCATTATCCTGACTACATTTAGTGAAATTTCAATGCAAAAAAAAAGTTTCACAGGGATTTTTTTTTTTTTTGGAAGGGAGAAGGAAGGGCTAGGTGAAAACATGTATATAGTATACAAATGATCTTATGTAAAGTGCTTTGAAACAGTGTTGTAAACTGCATTTTAGACACTTCAATATAACAAACACACAAAATACAGTACTTTCTAGTTTTCTGGCAGAGGGACAAAAGATTTCATGCCTGTTGGAGGACATGGCTCAGATTTTAGGCTCAAAATACAGTAAATTGGCAATAATAGTGGATTACAGGTAAAAGAGAAACTAAAGAGCTAAATCCATTAGTTTTCATGTGCAGATGGAATTATGAAAGGCTAACAACAATGCCCATTGGAAACAATCTGTAGTATCTATACTCTGAACAGTGCAAAAAAAAAAAAAAAAGAAAAAAGTTGAAATGCAATTTTCATGAGTTACAAAGTGCAAAGCTCCCCTGAATCCAATGTTACTGATAACTCGGTTTTGACAGTTTATAGTATTTTTTATATCTTAAAGTGGAATCAATAAAAGTTTTGCAAAACTTTCTTCCACATTTCAGTGATTTAACTCATTTAAAATGCTCAAAGTCCTCATTTCCTTTTGTCACCAACACCCTAATTTTAAAAGGAAAGTTACACTGGTGATAAATTAGCAAAACATGTTTTAAAAATATCATCTTGCATTTTCTTGATTCATTTTAGTAAATGAAAATGGGAACTTCGCCAGTGAGATTCTTTAAAAAAACTGATCCATTTTCAATGGATTTAAATATGTTCTAAACCTTAAGCTGCTCGTTGTCATTTCTTAAATCAAAATCCAACTTTATTTCTAATAGTCAAGGTCAGACTCATTTAGGCAATTTCACTTTCCTTCATTTTCATTATGAGTTTTAAGAGACATGCTTTAAACTTATACAACTTTCCTTCTGAAATTAAGGCTATATTACTTTTGCCCTTTTAAAATTATGGAGGTGCCTGTTCCTCCCACATCCATGGTAAAGATGTCAAACAGACACAGCTTTCCTTTAAAACTGCTTATTGCACGAAAAGATAGCAAAAACAAACTGTCAGTTCTTAAAATAAACACAATCATATTTCTATAAAAGATGTTGCCAATATGTTCTATAATTGTTGTTGTTGTTAGGTGCCATCGACTCGGTTCCAACTCATAGCAACCCTACGTACAACAGAACGGAACACTGCCTGGTCCTGCACCATCCTCACAACCATTGCTATGTTTGAGCCCATTGTTGCAGCCACTGTGTCAATCCATCTCACTGAGGGTCTTCCTCTTTTTCACTGACCCTCTGCTTTATCAAGCATGATATCCTTCTGCAGGGACTGGTCCCTCCTGATAACATGTCCAAAGTACATGAGACAAAGTCTCGCCATCTTCGCTCCTGAGGAGCATTCTGACTGTACTTCTTCCAAGACAGATTCGTTCATTCTTCTGGCAGTCCATGGTATATTCAATATTCTTTGCTAACACCGTAATTCAAATGTATCACTTCTTCCTTGGTTTTCCTTATTCATTGTCCAGCTTTTGCAGGAATATGAGGCGACTGAAAATACCATGGCTTGGGTCAAGTGAACCTTAGTCCTCAGGGTGACATCTTTGCTTTTTAACACTTTAAAGAGTGTTAATTAATCCATAATTATTAAAGCACTATTCTAATAAATATAAAAGAAAAGGAAGCTATACTTCAAAACACATACATATATGTTTATATATACACAAACATATATATAAAAATATATATATGAAAATCACATTAAGGTGAGAGGCAGCAAATAAACTAGCAAACAAACAAAATCCAACAACCCCTCCTCTCTCTCCACCCAACTTCAGAGACCTCAACCCTAGAGTTCCAATCTTTTAAAATATTTACTCTTTATAAAAGCTTTAAGAGGTTTCTATGTATAACCCATAGAAACAGAAGTCTTTAGAATACATGTCACTTATCAGAGAGAAAGAGTTACCACTTCTGACAAGGGTTTACAGCAGCTTTAACAGACTCACTAAAGAAAAAGAAAAGTTTAGGTTGTTACTGCTTAAGTACACATTGCACAAATGGCAAATGTAAGTTCAGAAAGAGAAAGACACACATACACATGCTCACAAAAAACATATATACATAAAATAATTGTTTCTTAGGAAAGCAATATCAAGAGTTGAGGACTCAGAACTGTGTATGAGACAAAAGACAGCAGCTGGCTAAAATAAAGAAGTAGGGTGTGCAAAATAAAAACCTAGTTTGCCATGCTTCACATCCAAATGAACGAGACAGATGAACATTTGAATGTCACTGGTAGCATTAGGAAAAAAAACGGAGGTGATGAAGGCAAGGGAGGTAGAGAGAAAAATTAAAGTGGTGATAGGGGAGAAAAAACGGGGAAGAAAGTTCCCCAATGGAATGAACTATAAAAATATATACACAGGCACATATATATCTATTATCATTTAGATCCAGATATATATACATATGAAGTATGCATGTATATATTTAATATATACACAGACACTTTACAAGAATACACAAATGCACATTAATTTTTTTGCACACATTATTGTGAACAATCACTTTGATTATTCATGTAGGGGTGTGTGTGTGTGTGTGTGTGTTTAAACCATCATTTACTTTTTCTTTACTTTTTTTTGCAAAGATAGTTGTGCTGCCAAGCAACTTGAGGTAAAGGCATTAAAAGGGTTAGACTACCAGAAGTGAAAAACAAAACAATCGCGATACTTCCTACAGGAGACCGCACAAAAAAGCAGTTGGCTGGTTTCATATTGCATAATGGAGCTGTGTTCCTTGATGAAGTAAACAATCTACCTTGTATCAACATAAGGATCAGACCCTGGTCCCCCCACAGTGTTGGTTTCTGTATGGCTGGAGGCATCCTCACTCAACTGACTCCACTGGAAACACACATTGTGCATGTCCATTCCTCTTTCAGTTCTTCCTCTCACAGAGTATACTTGGACTTTTTAAGCAAAGTACATTGTGCGTAAGGTATCTTGGTGAATCTGTACAGCCTTGGCAAGAGCTTGTGGATCTCGCCCGTTGCTCTGTCCTGAAACGTGACTTCCTTCAGCACTGCAATAGAAGTGACAATGAACACAAAAACAAACCCTATTCTGATGTAATAATTCTGAAAATTGTTATCTGTTGTAGAAAATTTCAAAAGTATTAAAAAATAGAGACTGGTATAATGACCCCTATGTGTCCATCACCCAGTCTGAATAATTATTAATTCAAGGTCAATTTTGTTTTACTTCTCTCATCTTCCCAGAATTTTTCAGAAGTAAATCCCATTTTATCTGTGTATATATCACTTTTATTACCAATAACTTCTACCTTGAATTAATTTGGTAAAGCAAGTAAATCACCATATCATTATATTACTGATGAGCCTAAATAGCAATTTAAGCATATTTCAACGGAAAATCTTACCTTGGCAGTAGTTCTGATTACCGTTACATTTCATATGGATTACTGGCTCTTCTAATAGCTTGGGAACTTTAATTCTAAATGGCAGTACTTTATGGCAAACAAAGAGGCATATACTTACATGGAAGTGCTTACAGAAATTCCCTAAGAAAATTTTAATACAGAGACCACATTTGGACTCTGGTGAGCATCTATATTAGTTATGGCTTTTATATTACCTGTCATGTTCTTTGTCCACAAGATGGTATCTGGCTCTGAATGCCACCAGGTGAGCATAATACGCTGGTGCAGGTATAGAAACAGATCGTGTACAGCGCACATAAGTGTGGCAGAGCTGGTAAGTTAGCAGCTGAAGTTCATCTGCAGTAAAGCAGTTATCATCCCATAAAACATGATAGAGTGAAGGACGGCTGGTACCCTGTAGAGAAGGCAATGGCATAAACTGTTGATTTCTAAACTTTTTATATTAAAAAACACCAGCTTTGTACAATAGTAAAACATGTTCTAATTTAATAATCAATTTTAAAAACATTTAGTTGAGCTCCTATTTAATGTTACTATGTTAGGTATTAAGGATTCAAAGTAACACAAAGTCAAGGGTCTCCTGTCTTTTGGAAACCATAATTTAGTACAGGAAGAAAGGAGACAGAAGCATCTACAATTATAAAACAACTAACAAATGGCTATAGTACTACTAGCACATAACCTTTATGAGAATACCAAAGGAAGTAATTGCAAGGGTAAGCTTGTGGGTGCTTTACCAAGTGGGGGAATACTAGAGCTAAGGTTTGAAGGATGAGTGAGATGTGACCTTTTTTGGATGGTCAGGGTGAGGAGTCATCCGTAAGCCTGTTGCTGTTGAGTCGATTCAGACTCGTAGGGACCATATAGAACAGATAGAACTACCGCACAGGGGTTCCAAGGCTGTAATCTTTATGGAAGTAGACTGCCACATCTTTTTCCTGCAGAGCAGCTGGTGGGTTTGAACCGCTGACCTTTCGGTTAGCAGTCAAGCACTTAACTACTGTACTACCAGGGGTCCTTGAGGAGACATTAGACAGAACTAACAGCCTTAACAAAAATACAGGGGGCAAAATATTTCATGGCATGTTTGGGGAATAACTAATAGGCTACTGTGAGCAGAGTGTGGGGCATGAGGGGGAAAAGATGAAGTTGAAAAGAAAAGTTTGGAATCGGACTGAATACCACGCGTAGGAATTTGGACTTTCATCTGTGGGCAGCAGGGAAAGCACTGTACAAGTTTTTTTTAGCAGGAGAGCTTTTAGGTGTGGTGAGACTGGGGTTTTACAAAAGTTACATCAGCAATAATATGGAGGATACATTGGGAACAGGAAGGGACTGAAAGCAGTGGGACTACTTAGAAGGCTTTTGCATTTGTTCTGGTATGAGATGATGAAGGCAGGAAATAAGGAAAGGAGAGTGGAAAAGAAGAAAAAGGAAAAGATTAGTTCATACTTTAATAAATATTTGTGTGAGTGTCATTTGTCAGGCACTGTGTAAGATTTTGGGGAGAAAATCCAAATTATTATTAAATTCTTCCTCCCCAAAATTATATGTTTATAAATGCATATATATTTATGTACTCACACATTCAATAAATATTTATTGACCATCATTATATGTTATGCCCTGTACCAGGTCCTGAGCACACAGCTGTGAATAAGACACACATTTCAGTGAGAAGAGACAGATGATACACAAATAAAGCCATTAGAAATTGGGTTATAAAGACAATTAAAATGTAGGGTAGCACGAAAGGTAGACTATATCTGTCACTACTTTAGACTGAGTGGTCAGGGAAGGTCTTTCTGAGGGACAGACATGTAAATGAGCTCTGAATGGTGAGAGGAAGGCTTGTGAAATCAGGTGAAAGATCATTTCGGGCATAGGGAAGAGGTAGGGCAAAATCCCTAACTATGTGGAATTCATTCAGTTCTCTCCCCTCACCATTCTAGTCTCAATTACCATCATCTTTTGCATGAACTATGGTAACAGACTCCAAACTGATACCCCAGTAATACTCTTACTCCTTACTACAATCTGTACTTCAATAAAAAATTCTTTTAATACACCTACTTATGTTAGTGCCCAACTTAAACCTCTTTAATGGCTTCCCACTGCACTCAGATTAAAACACAAATCCTCTCCTTGGCCTAATGAGACCTATATGATCCAGCCCCAGCCTCTCTCTCTAACCTGTTCTCATGCTGCAGTAGCGGTCTCCATTTAGTTCCTTCAACAGACAAAACTCTTTTCACGAAAAGGGCCTGAGAATGGACCTCTGACAGGACTTCTCTTTGGCATTCTTGGCTTGGCTAACTCCTTAAATGTCATTTCTCAGGGAAACTTTTTGTGATTTTCCAATCTAAATCAGGGCCTCACTAAAATCTCCCTTCCTACGTTTCACTTTCCCTTTACTGCATTTATCTCAATTTGTAAACAAATACTTGTGAAATAGCTTAATACGTCTTCCTCAATAAACTAAGAGAGGAAGAAATTGTGTTTATTTGTTCACTTGTATACCCAGTATCAGTGCCTCCATCCTATGAGGTACACAAATATCTGCTGATCTGTGCCTTTTGGGACCTTACAGACTAGTGGGAGGGGGAGAGAAACAAAAACCCGGTTATAATGCCATCTATTAAGTCTAACAAAGAGGTATGCATAGGGTGCTCAGGCAATATGGAGGAGGGGCATTTGTCTGGGGGGAAGGAGTCAAAAAAGGCTTCCGGGAGGAACTGATGTCTGAGAGCTGTCTTACAGGAGGAGCAGAAGAAGTAAGTTTTCTGTTTGCTTTAGCTACTCTATATTCAATTGTATGGGAAAGTAATAATGAGAGTTGGAACTAAGCAGTGGAGGAAGTGAGAATGAGAAAAGAAAGGCTTGAGAGTGAGAAGTAGATTTTACAGGACTTAGTAATTAATTAGGAGTCCTGGTGTGCAGTGGATAAGTGCTTGGCTGCTAACCAAAACCTCAGTGATTCAAACCCACCAGCCGCTCTGTGGGAGAAAGATAAGGCAGTCTGCTTCCATAAAGATTTACGGTCTTGGAAGCCCCGTGGGGCAGTTCTACTCTGTCCTCTGTCGTTGTGAGTTGGAATCGACTTGAAGGCAATGGGTTTGGTTTTGGTTTGGAGGGATTAATTAGATAAGGGTGGTAGGTGAGAACATACAGTCAAATAGAACTTTTGAGATCTGGAAATTAGGAGAAAGGCTGTGTCTGTAAAAAGAGATTTCAAAGTCACAAATATTTAAACTTTAAAACTTAAAAGGTGGATCACGTACAGAGCGCATAAGCGTTAATATGGATAGAAGAACCAAACCAAGAAAATCAGAAGGGCAAGTTGAGAAATAGGAGAAGAACGTGTGGAAGCCAAATGGAAAATGGTTTCACTAAAGAGTGATTGTTGCTGCAGAGATCAAGGAGCAGTAACAGTGGCGCAGAAGGCAGGCTGCTACAAACTGAAGAAGGAATAGAAAGTGTAGTCTTTTTTTTTTTAATGTAAACATTTTATAGAAGTATAAATACAGAGAAAAATAAATGGATCGTAAGTGTACAGATCAATGAATTTTCACTAAGTGAACATATCCATGAAACCAGCACCCCATCAAGAAACTGAACATTAACTGAGCCCAGGAAGCCCCTTTGTGCCTTCTCTTGGTCACTACGCTACCCACCTGGCCCCTCATAACTAATTTCTAACACCACAGATTAGTTTTGCCTATTTGTGAACTTTATAATAAATGGTAAAAAAAAAAAAAAATGTGTGGCGACCCTACAGACAGAGTAGAGCTGCCCCACAGGGTTTCTGAGGCTGTAAATCTTTACAGAAGCAGACTGCCACAGCTTTCTCCCACAGAGCGGCTGGCGGGTTTGAACCACTGACCCTTCAGTTAGCAGCCAAGCACTTAACCACTGTGCCACCAGAGATCTTTATAATAAATGTTATCACAGGTATATGTATCCTTTGTGTCTGGTTTCCTTCATCCGACATTGTGTCTGTCAAATTAATCCATGTTGTCACGTCATTCTCATTGTTGTATGAATATATACTATTTATCCAATCAACCACTCTCACCAGCAGAGTATGAGAGTTCCAGTTGCTCTATGTCCTTAATATTGCCTTCTATTTCAGCCATTCTGGTGGGCTTGTTTAGGCTATTCTTTTAAGAAGTTTGGTAGCAAAAAGAAGAGATATGGGGCAATAACTTAAAGGAGAACAGCAGGATCAAAGAATTTAGAGCATTTTAGGATGGGGGTAACTATAAGCTAACAAGATGGAATGAGAACAATATTACAATATTTCCTGTGAGAAAGGAGGGAAGAAAGTAGGCATGACTGACAATGTAATTTCTTAGTGAGGTAAAAGGAGGGGGTAATGTGCTGAGTGTTAGGGCAACAGACCAAGTTTAGGAACTCAAGGAGAGTGGTAGCAGAGTTAATGAAGGAAAAGTCAAAGGACTGTTATACAACAGTAAAGGTTGTCTTTGAATTTTTATGATTAATATTAGGAAGTTATAATTTAGGATACTACCCACCCTCACTTCTTTAAAGGGATGTCTACAGGAGAATTCCCTTTGGTGGGTCATAGGGAAGGGTCATATGCTCCATCCAGTTAATGTTTCGAACAGGATGTCAAGTGGGATTTTTCTTCTAATGTCCTAGAATTTCAGTTAAGGCTCAAAGCAGAGGACTACAGGTGCCAAGAACCCTATATTCTAAGAGCTACCAATCTTTGGAGCTAGCCACCCTCCCTCAAGGGCTTATTGAGAGAACCCAGTTTAGGACAGGTCTTAGCATCAATTCTCAGACTCTGGCCTCCTCTCATCTCACCCCCACTCTCTCAATATAGGAAGAAGGTGATATGGGGTTTTGTGAGAATATGGAATTTTAGCTGTGAGGAAAGGCACATTCTTTCCCCTGAAGACAAGTAAGAGGGCTCCAAGAGAATCAGTTATAAAGATGAGACAGTCTGCTGGAAGGGGGAACTATCATCTCATTCCCCAACCGGGTGCTTCCTGAGCTCAGAATCCACAGGCCTTCTCTGCTGGACTAGAGTGGTAAGAGTTCTTGGAAGCAGTTTTAGAAGCCTAAAAGAATGAACGTGAGCAAAGGACAGAAGCCACAGAGCCAAGCAGTTACACATCTAACCTAAAGAAGGAGGTGGGGGTGTATACCACTGATGGGGCCAAAGAAAGACTCTGCTGCTCTTGAGGCTTCTCAGCTACAAAGGGACCTAGGATGAAGCTAAACACAACTCATATGGAGATCACCCCCACTGAGGCTACAGCATTAGAGAATCGGAATACACTAGAGAGAGGCCAGTGTCACCTCCCTGCTACTGACATACTGATAGTCAGCAGTATCAGATGAGTTAGAGCCTTAGAAGGAAGAGGAAAAGAAAGTATCTCAGAGCCAGGCCATTGTCCCCAACTCTCCTGAAAGCTGCTGGGACCAAAGATCTAGAATGTGCTGAGGAGGTGGAGGGTAGGAGGCAAGAGTCAATATTTGATTTGCTTTGTAAATTTAGGTTTTAAAAACAAATGGAGATTTTATTTCAACATAAAACAGGGAGAGGGGAATGGGACTGAGTCATAAACATCAAGAATAACTAAAAGTGTGAAGAAGTTACAGAATTTGGCCAAAATGTTACAAAGTACCTGTTACTCACTGGTAAATTGAAAAGTAGTGATTAGAAAAAATGAACTCATATTATACTGGTTAGAAATGACTGGGTTTTAATTTTAGCTAGTAAAAAACAGGACTCCTTTTTTTTAAATCTCAGAGAAGTCTGACAGTTCTAATAAAGCTGGGAAGATACGTTAAGAACACAGTTTTTTAGTCCTTGTTAAATATTTCTGGTTATTTGCTGACAAGAGCAGAAGTTTCAAATTGGTGTCCCACAGGAAAACTGGTCCCTAAAGTTCCTGGTTAAGTACATTAGAGAAACAGCCCTGTCTTGAAGATTCATAACAGTCATTAGCATATCAATAGTTCCCAAAAGTTCAAGAGTAAAAATCCTGTTTAACCAGCATTTCCAAAATTTATTTGAACAGAAAATCTTCTTCCTCCTCTGTGGTATTTATTACAAAGCCACAGCACTAGTGTTCCTCAGGATAGATGTGGACAAACAGTAGGTTAAAATATGTACTCCAGCGGTATAGGTTCAATCCCTAAAAGGTACTATTAACTTTGTTTTGCTGACTGTTAGCACCACCCTGAAAATGTACTGCATTGATTATAAAGGGGACTAGATATAATAACATGGAAAAATGAACGAGACAATAATTTATAGTCATGCATCTCAAACCAGGGTTAATGTATATGGGACAAAAAAAGCTGTAAGATATAGCTATACAGTAAGATACATTTTCCTGGAATTTCTATTTTAATCAATTACAAGTAGCCTAAAATAGTTTGGACTGCATCCCATCAGACATCCTAGGAATGTGAGCACCCTCTCTGCTGCTGGAAAGTTTGAGAAGCATATTAATTAAAGCATATGCTCTACTAAGTACAGATAATAAATTAATAAAAAGGCTTTCTGGAACCCTTAAGAAGAAAAGAGTAAGAAAAGACTCTAAAAATTATTTAACTGCTACACTGAAACTTAAAATTGTTTAATTCTACAATTAAATTCTTTCATGTGCTCAACATTTGCCAGTAAATGTCAAAGTTTTCTACTAACTGTTATCGTCACAAAGAGGTAGATGTCAATACGTAAGTGGTAACTTTAGTGAAGGGTAAGACAGTACACAATACTGGAGTAGTCAGCACAATTTGACAAAGGCAAGGTCATGGAAGCTTTGTAGACACATCCAAACGCCCTGAGGGACCGAATTACTGGGCTGAGGGCTGGGGACCATGGTCTCAGGGGACATCTAGCTCAACTGGTATAACATAGTGTATAAAGAAAATGTTCTACTTCCTACTTTGGTGAGTAGTGTCTGGGGTCTTAAAAGCTTGTGAGCAGCCATCTAAGATACTCCACTGGTCTCACCCTGTCTGTAGCAAGGGAGAATGGAGAAAACCAAAGATACAAGGGAAAGATTAGTCCAAAGGACTAAGAGATCACAATCATCACAGCCTTCACCAGACTGAGTCCAGCACAACTAGATGGTGCCCGTTACCACCAGACTACTCTAGCAGGGATCACAATAGAGGGTCACAGACAGAGTGGGAGAAAAATGTAGACCAAAATTCAAATTCACAAAAAAAAAAAAAAAGAAAAAAAACAAACCCCAGACTTACTGGTCTGACAGAGACCGAAGAAACGCCAAGAGTATGGCCCCCGGACACCTTTTTAACTCAGTACTGAAGTCACTCCTGAGGTTCACCCTTCAGCCAAAGATTAGACAGGCCCATAAAACAAAACAAGACTAAACGGGCACATCAACCCAGGGGCAAGGACTGGAAGGCAGGAGGGGACAGGAAAGCTGGCAATGGGGAACCCAAGGTCAAGAAGGGAAGAGTGCTGACATGTCATGGGGTAGGCAACCAATGTCACAAAACAATATGTGTATTGTTTAATAAGAACTAATTTGCTCCGTAAACCTTCATCTAAAGCGCGCGCGCGCGCACACACATAAGAGGTAGATGTCAAAGGAACAATCGGGTACTACAGAAAATTCTGAAGTTTTAGGTTAAATTAAGGAATCACTTTAAGGAGAATTCTATTAACTTACTTATATATTCTAGTATTTTCATAGAAATAAGCATTTCTCAAGTGAGAGAGAATTTTATTTACTTGAAAGCTTCATCTAATTTCATGTGGAAAAAATTTGGAATGCAGAGGAAGAAGAGTATTTCTTCCTCCTTTTTCTGAGATTTTAAAAGTTGATATAACAATGAAAAATTCTGAATTAAAACATTTCATCCAAAGTGCTGACTTACCTGTATTCCAGCATGGCTACAGAGGTAAAAATCAAACTCATATGGGTGTGTAATGTCTGTATCAACTGTTGTTCCAGCTGGAATATTGCCACTTCTTCCGACCTGGATTTGTTTGGCCAAACAACACAAAAATAAATAATACATCTGAAAGCATTTCAAAAAATGTATACATATACAGGCCAATCCCATGTTTCCCTACTTTCAGTTTGAAAAATTACTTAAGCAAGCATTAAGAACAGACTTTATTTTAGTTTTGGTTCCTATTCTTTTTTTTATAATTCTGCTTTTACTTTTATTTGCATTTTATGCTGAATTTACTCCTGAGCCATATTTTTTTTTTTATTCAGTTTCTTCTGGGATTGCCTTTTTCTTTTGTACAATCTCCTCTTGTGGTTTAGGAACAATGTGTTCCTTTTCAGTAAGGATCATCTCCAGGTGGCAGGGGGAGCTCATGCCTGGGTTAATCCGACCATGAGCTCTGTAAGTATAGTGGCACATCTTGGGGGCTTTGTTCATCTGGCTGTGCTCAATGATCAGAGAATCTATACCCAAACCCTTAGGTTCAGCATTACTCTCTGCTTTTTTAAGTATGTGCAGCAAAAATTCAACACTCTTTGCAGGCCACCAACCCTGTGTCCAGCCCCACTGTTTGGCCTGGGCACATCTACCACCTCCACCACTGTAACATTGGAATGGCACATATTGCTTCTGTAAAGTGACATCTTTCAGAAACCTGGTGGCTTTTCAGATATGTATATCCCTGATGGCCTGCGCAGTTTCATAAGTGTTCTTAAAATGGACCCGAAGATTTAAATCTCTTGATTTCCATGATTTTATGGGGCTTTCTGGGTCAGGTGAGTAACCAAACATTTTGAAAGATCACCTAGGCTGCTTATGCTTATGGGCAGAGCCTGGTTCCTACTCTTAAATTGCTGAGAGAGTTGAAAAATAATAAAGAGTTACATAGTCTCTACTGCTGCTTAGCTAGTAGTTGACCCCGGTATGGGTGGAAGACTTTTTTTAAATGTTAGTGCTCCAATTTATTGTACTTGTGCAGAGTAGGCACCCTTGAATGTGTAACTTATGAAAATTAGCATTTTCCTTGAAGAACACTATATTTTTAGAGAGAAAGAATGCGGTCAACATCATCAATAAAAGTCACCATTTGTTAAGCATTTATGTACTGGGGTATGCACATTATTTCTAATCCTCATAATAATCTTGCAAATTAGATATTATTCCTTCTTGTTTAAGGCAACTAAGGCTCAGATTCCATTTGCCCAATAGAACACAATAAAGACCAAAACTGGGATTCAAACACTGAAATGACCTCAAAGGATCTATTCCTTTTATTTCATACTATCAATTTCAACATCTTGTAAAAGAACAGATATCATGATCTTCTTTGAGTGGGTAAGATGTGACTGAAATGATTCATAATCCTGATAATGAAAAGTTCCTAGTAAAATACTTGAAAATGCACATGTGTACCCACCTCCACCTCCTTATCTCTAACACATTTAAAATCACCAACTATAAGTCTAGGTTTGCAAGGCTGGCAAATCAGAAACTATTTTACTGACTCGGACATTATTTCTGTTATGTGGGGGGCTGCCATGACACGCAATGGTTTAAGTCATAGGTGTGTGGACCAACTGACTAGCCTTCACCAAGCGCAAAACAAAACTAACACTTTATAATCTACTCAATTATGCCCATTCTTAAAAACAAAACAGCTTAACTCTAATAAATTAGCAACATATAAATCTCCTAATTAATATGTATAAAAAGTTGTACTCTGTTTAGAGAAGCAGCAAAATGCATAAGTTTGTATCACAGCTCTACCACTTACTAGTTGTGTGATTTAGGGCAAGGTATTAAGCCTCTCTGTTCGCTGTTTCCTCATCTATAATTATTCCCTCTCTATTATTAGTAGCATTATCTAGAGCAAGGGTGAAAGAAAAATTAAACAAAAGAAGGACTGCTGTGACTAAACGTCTGATGCTAGTGATAATTAAATCTACTTTAGATTTTCCTAATCCCACTTTTGAAGAAACTTTGGTTTTCTAGGTATAGAAATGTACCTGATAATTTGGGGTCAAAGGCCTTTAACAACCTGGAGGGCATAATACAACTATAACTACTGCTATTAGAGAGGTGGTATAGCACAGTGGTTAAAAGCATTCTGGAGCCAGATTGCCAGGATTTGAATCCTAGCTCTACCAATGACTAGCTTAGTAACCTTGGGTAAATTATTTAATCTCTATGTGCCATAGTTTTCTCATGGGTAAAATGGGGAATATAATAACTACCTCATAGTTAAGTGAGGATTAAATGAGTTAAATTTATGAAAAATACTTAGAACAGTGTCTGCTATTATTTCCTCTTCTCTATTACTACCACCAACACCACAACTAGCCAACTTTTATTGAGTACTTAGTATTTGCCAAAAACTGTTCTAAATGTGTTACATATTTTAAGGTAATCTTCTCAACAACCCAAACAGGGTAGATACTAATACTATCCACATCTTGCCAAGAAGGAAACAGGGACAGAGATGTTATGTTACTTGCCCAAAGTTACACAGCTAGTCTATTTACCAAAGGAAATATACTCTTCTCAGTCCTTTTCCATTGAATCTTTTTTCCCAAGGTTACAGTGACATTTGCTACCCTTATGTATCTGTGTTCCAAAGTTTGCAGGATAGAGGAAGATGGGGTCAGGGCACTGAAGGTGATAGCAAGATTGCTACTTGCCTGTGTTTCACACAGACAAGAAGACATATCTCCCTAAGTATTTATATCTCCTTTCCAATTATAAAAATACATATTCATATTATAAAATATATAAAATAATTCTGTGAATTTTAAAGAAAACACTGTTTCAATGTAGTTAGCATGAATTTACCCTTATCACTCTAGAAAGTTCCTAGTTTTTACGAAAACTAATTTTTGCAAGCTATTTAAAAAAAAGAATGTATCTTTTTTTCTTCTGAGCATTTAAGGAAAATATGAATAGAAAGAACAATTTTAAAACTGTAAGAAATTCTTCACAACAACAAAAAGGGAGAATAGGATTTTGAAAATTTGGAGTGTTACTAGAATTAAAACAAATACACAAACAAAAAAACCACACCCACTGCCATGGAGTTGATTCCAACTCATAGTGACCCTATAGGACAAGGCAGAACTGTCCCATAGGGTTTACAAGGCTGTAATCTTTATGAGAGCAGACTGCCACATCTTTCTCCTGCACAGCAGCTGGTGGGTTTGAACTGCCGACCTTTCCGTTAGCAGCCAAGGGCTTTCATCACTGCGCCACCAGGGCTCCTTGTTACCAGAATAGAAAGTTAAAAAGTAACAATTAACCTATCTCGGTGCTTCTCTACTCATAATCTGCTTTGCTGACATCTGCTCCTATATATTGGAAACCCTGCTGCTGGAGGAAGGCCCTTGTTAAGTGCTCTATGAACTACGTTAGATACACTTGGTTGATAATAGTATTGCAATAGATTTAACATTACCCTTTCTGTCCTATCAGCACAAAATAACCGAGTGTGATGTCTCTTCTGAACTACAATGTAAGTTATTCCGGGTTGGTAGTCTTTCTCCAAACTGATGCAGGCTTCTCGAATTGCTAGTAGTTCATAATATAATACCTAGGGAAGATGAAATAGAAATATTTGAAAGCTGTTCCCTTTTACACACTTCAAAATAAGATAATGATTTAGTCTTGGGACTTCTTAATCTCATGATTTCATAGCCAGATATACTTCTCTATTCTGTCTTAACAATTATAAGAGGATGGTCTTAGCAATCAAAGCTTACACATCCATATCTCTAGTGAACATTTTAAAAAGGAAAATCTATTGAAGCATCAAATCTTTACTTTAGGAATTCTCAACTAAGGCTTTTAACTCAGAACTGGATATCATATTATAAACAAGGTGTTTGACTCAACTGTAGTATAATGAGATCTCAGGTAACCGACCTGCCTAAACTGTCCCTCTGAAACACCATCCCGATAAAAGATGATACGAGTAGGTTTGAACCGAGTCGACTTATAAAACTGAATAAGCAGTTCCCGGACCATGGAGGCCAAGTCCTGGATGATCTCTTGTCGGGGTCTCTGAACTCTTACTGTGGCACAGTATCTGCTTGGGTGGGCATCCATACTACCTACAACCTTTGTTGGAAAAAGAAAAATAGAAATTAAGATAATAAAAACTAAATGGATTTCATTACATTTGTATTTTACTATAACCTTACTATTTATCACTATTCACTTTGAGAATAATAAAAAATAGATTATTCCTAGTAAAGAACAGAATAAAAGGCCCTAGCATACAGTCAAAAACCATTTTCCTGTAAGTATGCTGCCTTTACATTTAATAATTAGAATCTAATCTATAGAATGTTGCTGACCTAAAGAGAAAATGACATCACAAACCCAATGAGAGAAGAAAATAAGTAATAAAAGATGACCCATTCAAACCTTTGATTTCTTTTCATATTTCTTCTACTTTAGCCATCCACCCGAGAAGCCACAGTCGACACTTCGGCATCATCTTAAAACTTTTATGCCGCATACATTTTATAATCAGAATTTTCCCTCTATGTCTTAGACTTCTATTTCTCCTGGTCCCTCACTCCCACTAAATGCTGCTTTTCTGCTTTAATGATTCCTTTAGACCCCAAATTCCCATCAATTCTAATAATCTTTAGCTCCTTCCTGATTTCATTTCTTTCTAGACTCCATGGTTAGTCAACATCAATATTTCCAGGTTCCTCAGTTTCCCCACTACTTTGTCCTCCTGATGTATTTGCCAAGGCCAAACCTGAATCAATGAAACCCTGCACTCTATGCCACTATTCCTGGGCTGTAAAGTATAAATGGGTTAAAAAAAAAAAAAAAAAAAGAACTCAATTTACCTGACAGCCATTATAAATTTGTGCTTTCCAACTCAGCATGAATTAGGCACTTTAACTGTTGAACTGCTGAGTACCTGTGGATTCTTAATATTGCTCACAGGAAACATCTGATTTTCTCCAATCAGCTTCTTCATGCATTTCTTAGAATCTATCATTCTACCTCAAGTTTCCTACCAGATAAAAATTCCCTTATATTAGAAAAATGCTCACCAATTCTTAAATCCTTTCTCTATCATAATAGGAAACATCTCTTACTGAACATTAAACTCTCTCTGTACCTGTATTCTTTAACTAACCTATAAGGTCACACCAGTAATAAACCTTTTTCTTGTAATTTTCTTCACTGTCTCTTTTGACTCTCCTTTATTCATAGTCAAACCTTTCCTACCCTACAAAAATATACTTGGACTATGCTGTCTCCTCAAAGAACAGGAGTGTACCTTTACTGAATCTACATCTATAGTATGTGCCTATACTATACTATAGTATGTGCCTAGAACTGGATTTTTTGGGTTGTAGGGTATGTATGTCTTTTTTATTAGGTATTTCCAAATTGCTCTCCAAAGTGGTTGTACCACTTTATATAACCACATGCCATGTATGGGATCAATTCCCCACAACTTTGCTAACACTTTGTTGTTGTCGTGTGCTATTGAGTCGATTTTGACTCACAGTAACCTTATAGGACAGAGTGGAACTGCTCCACAGAGGTTCCCAAGGTTGTAATCTTCACAGAAGCAGATCACCAGGTCTTTTCTCCCACGGAGCCACTAGTGGGTTTGAACCACCAGAATTTTGGTTAGCAGCCCAGCACTTAACCACTGTGCCACCAGGACTCTTTTTTTTTTGTACTTTAATTTTCCCCCAAAATACATTGGGTAAGAAACAGTATTTCACTTCTGCTTCAATGTGTATTTCCCTGATCATTCAGGTTTCCTAATCGCCTCTTCCTATTCTTGGCCCATTTTTCTATCAATCTTTTTCTTACTCATTTCTAAGAACTTATTTCCATTATGGATGTTAATCCTTCACCAGTTATATGCACTGAAATTATCTATTAATTTTTTATTGTTTATATCATGTATTAGGGATCCTAAAATTGTCACTGTTTTTTCTTCCGTGATCTTTATAGTTTTAGATTTATATTTAGGTCTTTGATACATTTTGAGTTAGTATTCGTGCATGGTGTGAGGTATAGGTCTTGTTTCATTTTTTTGCAGGTGAATATCCAGTTATGCCAGCACCATTTGTTAAAAAGATTGTCTTTTCCCCATTTAACGGACTTTGGGCCTTTGTTAAACATCAGCTGCTCACAGGTGGATGACTTTATGTCTGGATTCTCAATTCTGTTCCACTGGTCTATATATTTGTTGTTATACCAGTACCAGGCTGTTTTGACCATTGTGGCAGTATAGTAGGTTCTAAAATCAGGTAGTGTGAGGCCTCCAACCTTGTTCTTCTTCTTGAGTAATGCTTTACTTATCTGGGACCTCTTCCCTTTCCATATGAAGTTGGTGATTCGTTTCTCCGTCTCATTAAAAAATGCCATTGGAAGTCTGATCAGGATTGCATTGTATCTGTAGATCGCTTTGGGTAGAACAGACATTTTCACAATGTTGAGTCTTCCTATCCATGAGCAAGGTATGTTTTTCCACTTATGCAGGTGTCTTTTGGTTTCTTGCAGTAGTGTCTTGCTAGTTTTCATTGTGTAGGTCTTTTACGTCTGTTTAGATTTACTCCTAAGTATTTCATCTTCTTGGGGGCTATTGTAAATGGTATTGATTTGGTGATTTCCTCTTGGAAGTTCTTTTTGTTGCTGTAGAGGAATCCAACTGATTCTTGTATATTTATCTTGTAACCTGAAATTTGCTGAAATCTTCTATTAGTTCCAGCAGTTTTCTTGTGGATTTTTTGGGATTTTCTGTGGATAAGATCATATTATCTGCAAATAGAGACACTTTTACTTCTTCCTTACCAACCTGGATGCCCGTTATTTCTTTTTCTAGCCTAATTGCTCTGGCTAGGACCTCCAGCACAATGTTGAATAAGAGTGGTGGTAAAGGGCATCCTTGTCTGGTTCCCATTCTCAAGGGGAATGCTTTCAGACTCTCTCCATTTAGAATGATGTTGCCTGTTGGCTTTGTATAAATGCCCTTTATTATGTTGAGGCATTTCCCTTCTATCCCTATTTTGCTGAGTTTTTAACATGAATGGGTGCTGGACTTTGTCCAATGCCTTTTCTGCATCAATTGATAAGATCATGTGGTTCTTGTCTTTTATTTATGTGATGGATTACACTGATTGTTTTTCTAAGGTTGAACCATCCTTGCATACCTGGTATGAATCCCACTTGGTCATGGTGAATTATTTTTTTGATAAGTTGTTGAATTCTGTTGGCTAGAATTTTGTTGAGGATTTTTGAGTCAATGTTCATGAGGGATATTGGTCTGTAATTTTCGTTTTTTTGTGGTGTCTTTACCTAGTTTTGGTATTATGGTTATGCTGGCTTCATAGAATGAGTTTGGGAGTATTTACTCTTTTTCTATCCTCTGAAATACCTTCAGTAGTGATGCTGTTAACTCTTCTCTGAAAGTTTGGTAGAATTCTCCAGTGAAACTGTCAGGGCCAGGGCTTTTTTGGGGGGCAGTTTTTAAATTACCTTTTTAGTCTCTTCTTTTGTTATAGGTTTATTTAGTTGTTCTACCTCTGTGTTACTTTAGGTAGGTAGTGTGTTTCTAGAAATTTGTCCATTTCCTCTAGGTTTTCAAATTCATTAGAGTACAATTTTTCATAGCATTCCATTTAATTTCAGTTGGGTCTGTTGTGGTATTACCCATTTCATTTCTTGTTCAGGTTATTTGCTTCCTTTCCTGTTTTTCTTTTGTCAGTCTGGCCAATGGTTTATCGATGTTGTTGATCTTTTCAAAGAACCAGCTTTTGGTCTTGTTAACTCTTCCAACTGTTTTTCTATTTCGTTTAATTCTGCTCTAATTTTTATTATTAGCTTTCTTCTGGTGCCCGAGGACTTCTTTTGCTGCTCTCCATTTGTTTGAGTTGTAGGGCTAATGTTCTGATTTTGGCCCTTTCTTCTTTTTGGATGTGTGCATTTATTGCTATAAATTGATCTCGGAGCACTGCTTTTGCTGTGTCCCAAAGGTATGTTTTCATTCTCAATTGATTCAGTGAATTTCTTTATTCCATCCTTAATTTCTTCTATAACACAGTAGTTTCTAGCAGGGTGTTGTTCAGTTTCCATGTGTTTGATTTTTTTTCCTTGCTTTTTCTGTTATTTACGGCTTTATGGTCAGAAAAGATGCTCTGTAATATTTCGATGCTTTGGATTCTGTTAGGGCTTGCTTTATGGCCTAATATGTGGTCAATTCTGGAGAATGTCCCATGTGTGTTGGAAAGGAAAGTATACTTGACTGCTGTTCAGTGGAGTGTTCTATATATGTGTATATGAGATCAAGTTGGTTGACTGTGGCATTTAGATCTTCTGTGTCTTTACTGAGCTTCTTTCTGGATGTTCTGTCCTTCACCCAAAGTGGTGTGTTGAAGTCTCCTACTATTATTGTGGAGCTGTCTCTCTCTCTTTTCAATGCTGTTAAGAGTTTGTTTTATGTATTTTGGAGCCCTGTCACTGGGCGTGTAAATATTTATTACGGTTATGTCCTCCTAGTGTAGTGACCCTTTAATCATTATACAGTATCCTTCCTTATCCTTCGTGGTGGACTTTAAAGTCTATTTTGTCAGAGATTAATATTGCCACTCTTTTTTGATTGTTGTTTGATATATTTTTTTGTATCCTTAGAGTTTCAGTTTGTTTATGTCTTTAAGTCTAAGGTGTGTCTCTTGTAGTTTTTTTAATCCATTCTGCCACTCTCTGTCTCTTCATTGGTGCATTTAGTCCATTTACATTCAGCGTAAGTATTGATAGGTATGAGTTCAGTGCTGTCATTTCAATGTCTTTTTTTTTGTGTTGCTGAAAGTTTCTTCGTTCCACTTAATTTTCTGTGCTAAGTCATTTTTATGTATTTTCTTTTCATCATTGTTGATTTTGTATTTGCTGAGTCTTTATGTTTCTCTTGTTTTTCATTTTGATGTGTAGGATTGTTAGTTTCCTTTGTGGCTACCATAATATTTACTCTGATTTTTCTAAGTTTAAATCAATCTTTTTATTTCTTTATGTTACCTTGACTTCCTCTCCATATGCAAGATCTATGACTACATTTTTTAGTCCCTCTTTTTGTTTTA